TTTTATACTTTAGTTATTATTATTTGTCTTAGATCTTTTGATAGCATAAGAAGCAGAAAATAGGAGGTACTGTCATGGCAGAAATAGCCTGGCATGTTTTTTGTTTTTTTTTCAGTGGGAATAACTCATATTCATCTGCTTAATTATATTCAAATTCTACAAAAAGACACAGACATTGAAATATCATAATTAAGAACCACAATAATGGGTCACCTGTAACACAATATATATTTTACAAATTTGAAGTCAAAAATCAATTCAATAATTATAAAAGAAATCATCAGTTTTTAGTAGCAGACAGATGGGAAAATGATTTCCTAAGCCTACACAGTTTTTTGAAACCTTTGTAATAATATAATTACAAAATGTTAGACATAGTTCAACTTTGTTTCCAGAGGATAAACTGGAGTTAAAAGATGTATTTACTAATGAGCAAACAATTTACCCTCAAGTATCACAGTTTTGAAGTTTGAACAAATCATTCACCTTCAGATACAGTAAAATGTTTTGAGAAAATGATGACTCGCATTCAGACAAGCGTTAATAACTGAGAAAACGATGACTCACATTCAGACATAGTGTTAATAACTGAGCAAACGATGACTCGCATTCAGACAGTTTTAATAACTGAGAAAACGATGACTCGCATTTAGACAGTGTTAATAACTGAGAAAACGATGACTCACATTCAGACAGTGTTAATAACTGAGAAAACGATGACTCACATTCAGACATAGTGTTAATAACTGAGCAAATGATGACTCACATTCAGACATAGTGTTATTAACTGAGAAAACGATGACTCACCTTCAGATATCATTGTGCTAAGGTTTGGCTGGGAGAAAACCTAAAAGTGGATTGTGTAAAAAAAAAATCAGAAAATTTGACATACAAAATAAATCATTCTAAACTTTTGAAAAACCTTTAATTAGCAATCCAGAAAAATTTTTCTTAGTTACCGTTATACCATAACTCAGTAAGAATTGTACATTGTGTTTATAATTAATTGATGTTGAGGCTATTGAACGTTGCATGAAATTTATTGATGTCGAGGATATAGAGATTTCTAGAAGGTGAGCAGACGATTAAGTAATAAATATATAAAAAGTGTGAGATGAGTGTGAACAGCAGACAGACAGAGCAGATGAGATACCATAGAATGGGAAGAGAGCCAAAAGTAAAGCCAAATGAAAGTTTTGGTCAGAGAAGGGTTAAAAAATGTAAAGTTAACCGTCGTGGGAGTGAATAGCCTAACAATTGATATGTTAAATTGAGATTAACAGTTCTCTGACATTTAAGGAGAATAATTTGTCTCATCAAAGAGTGTTCTAAAGCAATTGAACCTGTCTGTGTACACTTTGACAAAGAGCAGACGATTATTTGGAACTAGGCCAAAATACGAAAAAGCAGAGAAGTATTGGAAATTCAGGATACAACTGTGGTAACTCAACATGGCAGCACAAGTGAATTACACACTGATAGTGTTTAAGATAAAAATAATACAGCTTGTCAACTAAATTCTATAGTAATTGAATTGGCCTAAGTGGACTTTTGACAAGAAGAGAACTGTACAGTATTTAAGATACAACTATGATATACATAGTGTAAAGAATTTTTGTATGTACGTTTAACTTGTTTTGAATAATTTTTTTAAAACAAGCGGAGTGCGTGCTGTTCATTTCTCATTGAATTTATCACCAACAAGTCACAGACAGCTACTGTAGAAGAATCCTTAGCCCAACAAACCCACATAGTTACTTTAATACATATACTACTAAAAAGTAAATAGCCCTTGATAATTCCCTTCCCAAAAGCATCAATTTTTGGTGGATTAGACTTCCTACTAAACATCAAACAATATTAAAATGGGACTTAACATTGACACTGACTGTCACGTGACTTGTCGATTTATATATTCAAATTTGTTTTAATATAACATACTCAACCTTCTTTACACCGATAAATGGCAAGGCTTGTGTATGAGCAAAGTTTCTAAAATAAAAATGGAAGATCATTTTTCCATAACTTATCTACATTTTGGAGTATTTCTAAATTTTTCTTTGAATTTTTTATCCTTTTTTAATATCAAATTCACCATTTTCTCCAGTTCATGACCATAATTTAATACGAAGTTTTTATTTTTCAATAAGGAATTTAGTTTGCCATAAAGATTACTACGCGGATTTTAAAATTTTAAATATAATAAAAAAGTGGCTCTACCTTTGTAACACGAAATAACATGTAAGCATTTTTAGGAGAGCTCAGCTCAACCCGAAAGAATCGAGGAAGCAACTGTTGAAAGATGACTGTGTAAAAACACAAGTTTTCTGTGATAAACTTCTTCCTAAAGAAGGAAAAACTAAATATCATTAGAGACATATAAAGAAAGTTATAAGGTTTCTCGTGTTCCAGTGACTGAAAATGTTTCTCATCCAAGTTGAAAATGAACAAATATCTTAGAGAACAATGTTATTTGTAAAATTTGTTTAGCTAGAAAACAATATGGCAATATGGATTATTCTGACTTTGATGAAAATTTGTTGTTTTATTATATAACTTTCTGTAATATTTAAAAACCAAGCACCTGTACTTTATTAACATTTACAGATCATAAATCTGTATTTCATTAGCCTTTAGATCTAAAGAATTAAAATTTGTACTTCATCAAAATTTACTACATATAGAGATGAAACATTTGTACTTCAACATTTCTACATCTGCAGAAGAAATATTTTTGCCTTACCAACCTTTAATAGATTTACATCTGTATTTTATCAATCTTAACTACACAAGTACTTCATAAATTCTACGACATATATAGACTAAATGTGTACTTCATCAACGTTTACTACTATACATATAACGGTCGAAATTCATCTCACAACCACATTATTTCTCTTTACTTTGTCTTCATTACCCTTCAACTTACCATTTCACATCCACGAACCTATCTTTATCTTCCCTCTCCATGCCAATGTTAGCTGGTTCTACAAGAGGATTGGTATACCTCCATGGCTGAATGTAGCTGAGCCACGTTTCAAGTGGCTAAAATAACGAGAAAAAATTACCACTGAGTGTACACTACTAAATAAGTAAACCTAATTAAAAATACATAATTTTGTGTTTTGAAAGAATTGTCTCAGTTTTCTCTGTTTATGTTTCACTTCTTGTCGTTCAAGTTGCATTCTTAATTACCGATTGTTTGTTACGGATTTCCCGCAAAGCTACACGAAGGCTATCTGCACTAGCCGTTCCTAATTTAGCAGTGTAAGACTAGAGGGAAGGCAGCTAGTCATCACCACCCACTCTTTTACCAACAAATAGTGAGATTATCCGTCACATTATAATGCCCCCATGGCTGAAAGGGCGAGCAAGTTTGGTGTGACAGGGATTCGAACCCGCGACCCACAGATTGCGAGTCGAGCGCCCTAACCACCTGGCCATGCCGGGCCTCTTAATTACCGAAACTGTAATAGAGTATAATATTATACCTACAAATTGACTGAATTGTACACAACTAAATCAACCTTAATGTTCACACACTTTACTTGGCAATCTAGTATATGACCTATAAGGTAAACATATAAAAAATTCAGCAGCAGCCATATTGAAAAATTAATTATGCTTTTCATCGGGACATAAAATAAAGTAGGTTCTGAAGAAGGTCATTTGGGAAGATGTCGATATATTCACCTCTTTCATTTTTTGTTTATTATGACCTAAGCCTAAACACTAAGTGCAATTACAAAAAAGAATTAGTTTTTTTTTACCTGAAAAAAAAAGATGATGTAACAAAACAAAGTTATTCAAAATCAATTCAAAAATACATAATAATTACCAAATAAATAAGCTAAGAATTAAGTGTTTTCAACCACCAATAAAAAAAAAAAAAACATCCAACACTGGAACCTGAATCATAAAAACTGGATGTTAATGGCAGAAATTCAAAAGTTTGACATTGATTTTGATGCTTAGACATTACAAGTTTGAATTTTTTTTTTAAGTAAAAGAATTTTTCATGGCACGAAAAACATGTGGCCAAACTATACAAACAATAATAAGATGTGGCCAAACTATACAAACAATAATCCTGTTAAGGAAATTAAAGATGAAAAAAATATTTTTCAAATTGACAAGTACATGACGAAATATCAAAAATTTAATATTTTCTGAAATTCCTGTTGTTAATATAAGTACTTGGAAGTTAGTGCTACCTGCACAAAACCTTACAAACTGGTTCAGCAAAAGGTGTAATAAATTTCTATAGGTATTCCATTACAGTTTGATGAAAGCCAAAAATAATTCAGATTGGACCGTAACTTCCATGACCTCAGTCCGAATTATTCACATTTTGAACTCCAACATAACTCGCACAAACAAGTTTTAAGACAAAAAATAACAACAGATGAAATTACCAACTGGAAGAAAACATAAAATAGTTGACCAAATATAAAGAACTAATGAAAGATAAGTTATTAGCTCAAACAAGACATAGACAATAGTTTAATGGACAGAAAGAACCAACATTGCACAGAAAATTATTTATAGTTAGAAACAACAAAATACAAAATGGAAGAAGGCAACAGAAAATGAATTAATAGGTAAAGTAGAAAAAGATATGTAAAAACAAAATATTACTTACCATGCGAAAGGAGGCATCAAAAGGCCATCGGTCAAAACAAAGACGAAGAAATGTATAAAGCTTTTTCTGCACTAACTGTGGCACAACTGAACTAAAAGAAAATATAAATACATGAAAATGAACATATAACTTTTTCTTTGTGATATCACACTCAAGAGCTACTAAAGTAATAAGTGAGTCCTACTTATAAATTACAGTAAGTGACCATTTAATCTACTCAAAAAAAAATGTAATTTGTGATATTTTATACTTTTCAACTGATCACATTCAGACTTTGCCATCAAATGCAAACCAGAAGTAAACCAACAAATGTAGGAAATTTAAGTTTTTGTATCATCCCCATTATTTTAACGGAAACGGAAATAATACTTGAACATCCATGAACTGAAAGAAAATTAAACTACAAAAAAAATAGAACATTTGATGTAGTTTAAGTAATTTTAATCAACAGTTTACTGAGATTCTAAAAATTTTATTAAAAAAAAACAGTAAGAAGGTAACTACAGCGAAGTAAAAACACTGCTATGAAGTAATTTCGACTGTCACAATAAGAAGTTAGAACTTAGAAAATTGTAACTATGTCAAGATAAAAACCAGTGGTATGAAGTAATGTTAATTGTCTGTTGAGTTCATTTTTAAGCAAATCATGTATCAAGGGACAATCTTATGATCATAAATATTGAAGTGATTTACCAATCAGCCTATATAATTGAATGTGGTTTGAGATATCCTTATATTTTTTGAATTAGTGACATTTGACCTCAGTATTGAGGATGGTCTTTAACAGTAGAATGAAAAGACTAGTGTTACATGCTTAAATTGAGTGTCTTGATCAGGATAGTTTGCATATATACACACACAATATGTGTTAAAGGATTTAGCCTGGACATGAAGTTTTCACTGTAGAGCCGAGAGGAATATTCTGATGTCAACCATCCTTTATATTAAATCTTAGTAAATCGACTTCATAGCAATCACAATATACGAAATTTAATTTGCGAAATATTATCATTCTCTCAATGTCCTGTTTGAGTTTAAAGCCAGTTTTGAGCACTTTACCAATTTACATTAAAAAACAAAATCTGCCTGCTATCTCTAATGTAAACATTATATTCACTGCAATGAGTATATGGTTTTTATTAACCTGTAGAGGAACCACCACATGGAAGTACATGACCGTATGTTGAACTCGATTAAAACAAGCTTTGGTTCAGTTACACCTCTGTCCATCCAGTCCTCCAGATTTTCATAAGATTTTGGACATTCTGATACCCTTCTCTTGATAATATCCTGAGTTATACAAGACCATCCCTCTGAAAGGGCCATTTCCATGGTATATTCAGTGTCTGAAGTTAGTTTATGGGATACAATTCATCTTCCAATATTCCGTACAAGTCTGATAAAACTAAAGTTTGATGAGTCACTCCATTTTGTCACTCCTATTTACTTCAAGAAATCTTGACAACCAATTTAATATATGGTAGGCATTATCCTACATTAGACTGAAGTCAGGACCAAATGTACCAGTAAATGGCAGCATGAGGGATCGTAGGATACAGTCCCTATAATAAAGTATGAAACTAGTGTTACCATTCTACAGGATGTAATGATGTGTACATCTAATAGTACTTATTCCTGCCCACACCGTACTTCCATATATAACACGTTTTTTTGTAGGAAAGTGGGTTAGATATGGTTCTAGATTCTCTCCAAGTAAGTTTATGCCTGTTATCTGGATGAAAAATGTAAAACAAAAACAACAACACTGCTCCATATCTGGTTGCTCCACTCTAGGTGTTCTTGGATTTAGCCAGATCGTTAGGGCACTTGACTCGCAATCGAAGGGTCTTGGGTTCGAATCCCCATCCCACCAAACATGCTTGCCCTTTTAGCAGTGGGGGCATTATAATATGATGGTCATTCCCACCATTCATTGATAAAAGAGTAGCCAAAGAGTTGGTGGTGGCTGGTGAAGACTAGCTACCCTCCCTCTAGTCTTTCACTGCTAAGTTGGGGACTGATAGAGTAGATAGCCCTCGAGTAGCTTTGCACAAAATTCAAGCCAAACCAACATTTTTAGGAGAGGGTTACCTTCTTCAAAACTGAATCAAGTGTTTTTAGCTGCAACTCAATGCTATATCAGTCTACAGATGACTAGAAGTAACACAGTATTAGTTTTTGTTCCAGGTGCCTATTATAATACATATTAACTCACAGCAAGGCACACGTGACAGATTTGCTCCAATGTGCCAGGCCCACAAACGTGTGAGCAAGAACAAACAGATAATGCTAATGGACATCTGTTGTGTGATGTGGATGATGTCAGAACTAGTTATTGCTAATTATTGCTCAATATTGTCATTGATCTTGAGAAGTGGTTTAATTTTGGAACATTGTGTTCTTTTCAGATTAGGTTTTTTTCCTCTTTTCGGTTCTTTTTCCTAATTCCTTTATTTATTGACATTAATAATAACATCGATATTTATGCTGTATTGTTTATTCTGTACCTAGTCCTGGCCAGGCATGGGTTTGCTAGCTGTTTCTTGGAGGTGATAAAAATTGTATTCTGGTTGTTTTAGTTTCATTTTGGATTTCTGTTATATTTTGATAAATTGTTTTTGTCCGACCCTTATTGCAGTGGCATTTTGTATTAGTTCATTACAACTTAACACAAATAAATGATTTCAAGAATCATACATACTACTTCAATTCTTCCATTGGACTTGGAGGGTCATACTGGTATGGTAAACCATCATGGTGACATAGACAGCTATTTACAAAGTAATGAAGATGTTTGACAAAAATACGAACCACTCGAACATGGTCATGAGTAGGCACAAAATGCTCCTATTAAAACAGAGAAAACAAAAGTGTAAAGCAAAATAATGGAAAAATTATAATTTAAATAACGTAAAAACATGATAAGATCTTTTCTTCGTCCTGGAGTCCTGCAAATGTTTTACAAAAGTCAATGATTTGAATTCTACAGATATCAGGTTTTCTTCTAAAACAGAAACATCAGGA